GACTACTACTACTACTACTACTACTACTACTACTACTACTACTACTACTAGTACTACTGATACTGCTACTTCTACTACTACTACTACTACTACTACTACTACTACTGCTGCTGCTGCTGCTGCTGCTGCTGCTACTACTACTACTACTACTACTACGACTGCTGCTGCGACTGCTACTCCTACTACTACTTCTACAACGATTGCTTCTCCGAGTCCTACCCCTGCGACTACTACGACTACTACTACTACTACTACTACTACTACTACTACTACTACTACCACGACTACTAGTACTACTACTACTACTACGACTACTACTACTACTACTACTACTACTACTGCTACTACTACTACTACTTATACATAATAGCAATGCTTGCTTATACTACTACTACTACTTAACTACTGCTACTACTACTACTACTACTACTACTACTACTAGTACGACGACGACGACAACGACTACTACTCCTACTACTACTACTACTACTACTACTACTACTACTACTACTACTACTACGACTACGACTACGACTACGACTACGACTACTACTACTTCTGCAACCACTACTACTCCCGCTACTAGCCCGACTGCTTGTACTTTCAACAGTACTACCACGACCATTACTACTACTACTACTACTACTACTACTACTACTACTACTACTACTACTACTACTACTACTACTACTGCTACTGCTACGACTACTACTACTACTACTACTACTACTGCTACTACTACTATTACTACGACTTCTACTACCACTACTGCAAACACGACGGCCACTACTACTACTACTACTACTACTACTACTGCTACTACTTCTCCAACCACTACGACTACCACTACTACTACTACTACTACTACTACTACTACTACTGCTGCTGCTGCTGCTACTACTACTACTACTACTACTACTAATACTACTGTTACAACAACTGCTGCTACGACTACGACCACGGCCACGACTACGACTACTACGATTACGACTACGACTACTACTACTACGACTACTACTACTACTACTACTACTACTACTACTACTACGGCTACTACTACTACTACTACTACTACTACTACTCCTACATACACTTCGTCTACGGCAGCTATTACTTCTGCGACTACGGCTACGACTACTAAGATCACTACCACGATCTACACTGCGACGACTACTACTACTACTACTACTACTACTACTACTACGACTATTACGACTACTACTACTACTACTACTACTACTACTACTACTACTACTACTACTAATACTACTACCACCAGTACGACAACGTATACTACTACTACGCTCACAGCTTCTACCGCTACTACTACGACTACTACAACTACTACTACTACTACTACGACTCCTACTGCTACTTCTCCTACTACGACTGCGATTACTACTACTACTACTACTACTACTACTACTACTACTACTACTACTGCTACTACTGCTACTACTACTACTACTACTACTACTACTACTACTACTACTACTACTACTACTACCACTACTATGACTACTACGCATACGAATACTACGACTACAGCTATCACGGTCAATACTAGGATGCTGCTTCTACGACTACTACTACAACTACTACTCCAACTATACTTGTTTCGACACATAAGAAAGCGAAGGAAGAAAACTGAAAACACACGCAAAAAAAAAAAAATAAAAAAAAAAATAATAATATAAAAAAAAAAAAAAAAAAAAAAAAAAAAAAAAAAAAAAAAAAAAAAAAAAAAAAAAAAAAAAAAAAAAAAAAAAAAAAAAAAAAAAAACTGGCGAAGGGCCCCACCATATGCAGCTGTGCGTACCGCAAGTGTGAATATTTTCTTCGGTAGCGATCCCTAGGGGGCCACGAAACGCATGAGGGCTGTGCCGGGGCCTTCGGTGGAGCTCCCTGTGGGGTTACGAAACGTGCAAGGGGTGTGACAACATTAGTGCTGTGGGCGCATTGGCACGCAGCCACTGGGGCCTTCGGTGGAGCTCCCTGTGGGGCCACGAAACGTGTGAGGGGTGTACCGAAATGGGTGCGGTGGGCGCATGCGAACGCAGCCATTGGGGCCTTCGGTGGAGCCCCCTGTGGGGCCACGAAACGTGTGAGGGATGCGCCGGAATGGGTGCGGTGGGCGCATGCGAACGCAGCCACAGGGGCCTTCGGTGGGGTTCCCTGTGGGGCCACGAAACGTGTGAGGGTGTCCCGAAATGGGCGCGGTGGGCGCATTGGAACGCAACTAGTGGGGCTTTCGGTGGGGCTCCCTGTGGGGCCACGAAACGTGTGACGGGTGTGCCGAAATTGGTGCGGTGGGCGCATGCGAACGCAGCCATTGGGCCCTTTCGGTGGGGTTCCCTTTGGGGCCACGAAACGTGTGAGGGGTGTATTGAAATGGATGCGGTGGGCGCATGCGAACGCAGCCGTTGGGGCCTTCGGTGGAGCTCCCTATGGGGCCACGAAACGTGTGAGGAGTGTGCCAAAATAGGTGCGGTGGGCGCATGCGAACGCAGCCACTGAGGCCTTCGGTGGGGCTCCCGTGGGGCCACGAAACGTGTGAGGGGTGTCCCGAAATGGGCGCGGCGGGCGCATGCGAGCGCAGCCACTGGGGCCTTCGGTGGAGTTCCTTGTGGGGCCACGAAACGTGTGAGGGGTGTGCCCGCATGGGTGCGGTGGGCGCATGCGAACGCAGCCTCTAGGGCCTTCGGTGTAGCTCCATGTGGGGCCACGAAACGTGTGAGGGGTGTACCGAAATGGGTGCAGCGGGCGCACGCAAACGCAGCCACTGGGGGCCTTCGGTGGGGCTCCCTGTGGGGCCACGAAGCGTGTGAGGGGTGTGCCGAAATAGGTGCGGTGGGCGCATGCGAACGCAGCCACTGGGGCCTTCGGTGGAGTTCCCTGTGGGGCCACGAAACGTGTGAGGGTCTGTCGAAATTGGTGCGGTGGGCGCATGCGAACGCAGCCACTGGGGCCTTCGATGGAGATCCCTGTGGATCCACGAAGCGTGTGAGGGGTGTGCCGAAATGGGTGCGGCGGGCGCATGCGAACGCAGCTGCTGGGGCCTTCGGTGGATTTCCCTGTCGAGCCACGAAACGTGTGAGGGGTGTGCCGTGATAGTGGGAGGAGGGAGGAGGGAGGGGGGAGGAGGCGGAGGAGGAAGGAAGGAGAGGAGACGCGGGGCACCGTCTCTTCAAAACGAGGACCCAACACCACAGGATGGTTGAGAACAAATTATCCTGGCGAAGGGCCCAACCATATGCAGCTGTGCGTACCGCAAGTGTGAATATTTTCTTCGGTAGCGATCCCTAGGGGGCCACGAAACGCATGAGGGCTGTGCCGGGGCCTTCGGTGGAGCTCCCTGTGGGGCCACGAAACGTGCAAGGGGTGTGACAACATTAGTGATGTGGGCGCATTGGCACGCAGCCACTGGGGCCTTCGGTGGAGCTCCCTGTGGGGCCACGAAACGTGTGAGGTGTGTACCGAAATGGGTGCGGTGGGCGCATGCGAACGCAGCCATTGGGGCCTTCGATGGAGATCCCTGTGGGGCCACGAAGTGTGTGAGTGGTCTGCCGAAATGGGCGCGGTGGGCGCATGCGAACGCAGCTGCTGGGGCCTTCGGTGGGGCTCCCTGTGGGGCCACGAAACGTGTGAGGGGTGTGCCAAAATGTGTGCGGTGGGCGCAATGGAACGCAACTAGTGGGGCCTTCGGTGGGGCTCCCTGTGGGGCCACGAAACGTGTGACGGGTGTGCCGAAATTGGTGCGGTGGGCGCATGCGAACGCAGCCATTGGGCCCTTTCGGTGGGGTTCCCTTTGGGGCCACGAAACGTGTGAGGAGTGTACCGAAATGGGTGCGGTGGGCGCATGCGAACGCAGCCATTGCGGCCTTCGGTGGAGCTCCCTGTGGGGCCACGAAACGTGTGAGGAGTGTGCCGAAATGGGCGCGGTGGGCGCATGCGAACGCAGCCACTGAGGCCTTCGGTGGAGATCCCTGTGGGGCACGAACGTGTGAGGGGTGTCCCTAACTGGGCGCGGTGGGCGCATGCGAGCGCAGCCACTGGGGCCTTCGGTGGAGCTCCCTGTGGGGCCACGAAACGTGTGAGGGGTGTGCCGACATGGGTGCGGTGGGCGCATGCGAACGCAGCCACTGGGGCCTTCGGTGGGGGTCCTTGTGGGGCCAAGAAACGTGTGGGTGGTGTGCCGAACTGGGCGCGGTGGGCGCATGCGAAAGCAGCCACTGGGGCCTTCGGTGGAGCTCCCTGTGGGGCCACGAAACGTGTGAGGGGTGTGCCAGCATGGGTGCGGTGGGCGCATGCGAACGCAGCCTCTGGGGCCTTCGGTGGAGCTCCATGTGGGCCACGAAACGTGTGAGCGGTCTGCCGAAATGGGTGCGGTGGGCGCATGCGAACGCAGCCACTGGGTTTTCGGTGGGGCTCCCTATGGGGCCACGAAGCGTGTCAGGGGTGTACCGAAAAGGGTGCAGCGGGCGCATGCAAACGCAGCCACTGGGGCCTTCGGTGGAGCTCCCTGTGGGGCCACGAAGCGTGTGAGGGGTGTGCCGAAATGGGTGCGGTGGGCGCATGCGAACGCAGCCACTGGGGCCTTCGGTTGAGTTCCCTGTGGGGCCACGAAACGTGTGAGGGTCTATCGAAATTGGTGCGGTGGGCGCATGCGAACGCA